AAACCAGCTTAAGCAAGAAAGGGAAATTTATCCGATTACTTTGGTGTCCCATGGGACCCGAGAGTCCAGGTACAGCCAGGAACGGCTCAGGACCCAGAGGGCCATCGGGAAGTCTGTCAGCTCTGACCAAAGCTTCTGCAGAATCTTCTCTGCCCCAGGTTTCTGCAGGCTGGCTTCTCCATTTACACAGCAGTCTGAGGACAGCCCTGCACAGGCTTGACTTTATATTTTCCTTGTTAAGGGACCAGCCAGATTGAATGTATTAAGATGGTTTTTCTTCTACAGGGGACCAGAAAAAAAAAGTAGCTCAAAGGGCTTAAGCTAATTAGGGAATTTAACAGCTCATATAACAGAAAATTCTAGGACAGCTGGATCCAGGTGGTCAAAGGGCACCATCAGAAGCAGCCTTTCCCTTCACTAGGGCCACATTGTCTACATTCCCTGCTGGTAGTGTCCTCTTGGGACAAAAGACCAATAGGACCTCCAGATTTCTCTCCTTTCCCAACAAAGCTGGGCTCTGGTCAAGCTTAGTGTTGGTCACATGTTTACTTCTAAATCACTTATAGCCCAAAGGGAGGAATGTGCTTATTTGGCCAGGCCTGAGACATGTGCCTGTTGTGGAGCTTGAGTTGAGGTTAGCCTACTCCAAATATAAAACAGTAACAGCACATTTTTATAGAGTTCACTGTGTTTTGGATTAGTTCTAAGTAGGCAACTCATTTTAACCTCAGGTTATTATTATTATTTTTTTTTGTTAACTAATTTAATCCTGATGTTATCCTTATTTGATACACAGAGAAACTGAGACACAAACCCTCACAGATAACCAGTCTCCAACTTACAATGTGCAAATACAACATGCGCTCAGAGGCAACTGTATTTTGAAGTTTGAATTTGTATCTTTTTCCGTGCTAGTGATGATATGCACAGTATAATCCTCCCTCAGGACGCTGGTCAGGGCATCAAGCTGCAGCCTCAAGCCAGCCACTTGATTATGAGAGGAAACAACTTACTCTGTAGTGTTCTGTGTTGTTAAACTATGATACTTATTAGGTTAGGTGTATTCAATGTGTTTTCAATTTGTGATGGGTTTATCAGCATGTAATCACTTTGTAAGTCATGGAGCATTTGTAAATTGCAGAGCTAGAAGTTGACCCAGAACTTGGACACCAGAAACTGGGGTCCTAAACATTAGCAGAAGGGAACTTCTGCCAGGAAATTGGGAGATAGATGCTGGGCAGGTAAAAACAACAGATGTCCAACAGTCACTCTGGATTCTTGTTCCACAGAGAAGCATTTCCCCAGCCCAGGGTTGGATAACCACCCTGGTGGGGTTCAGGAGAGGATGGAGGGATCAAGTTGTTTGCTTCTACTGTGACCTTGAACATGGACTAGTTTCAGAAAATAGAAGGGAGGAAAAAACAAGTGTCCTTCTATTGTTATTGTCTAGTGAGGTGTCATCTGAGTAGGGAATTTTAGTCATGCAAGTAAAAAAGGTGTATGGGGGAGGGAACTTATAATTGTGTCTATGAAACAAGCTGAGTAGACAGATTAACAGGAGAGAAAGCGTACGAATTTGTCACACACATGGGGGATTCATATGAAAGAAAAGTGAATATCTCCCAAGCCCAGTGAGATCTGGTAGCTTATATAGCATCCTGGACTACTGAAAGCAATAGGGGCAAGAGGCTTATTTGGGACAGTAGTGATGACAAGCTATGGGAGGGAGAGGGGAAGAAATGTACAGCGTGTAAAAGTTGTCTTGGTGTGCACATAACACTTCTCAGTTAATGAAGGTTGCCTCAAGGAGGACTTGTCAGAAGAATAGGTGCTAGCCCATAGTGGCAGCCCATCTGGGCAAGATAATGACCCATGGGGTGTCTTTTCCTGTGATGTTATCTTCCCTGGTTGATGACTCTCCCAGGGGAGAAGATCCATGTCAATTGGTTTCCTTTTTGGAGGATCTCTGGAAGAACCAAAGAGATGAGGGAGGTTCAAAGAAAGCCTGGTTAGCATCTACTGATCATCCCTGCCACCCCATCCCACCCCCACCCCCACCATCACCATCCCAAGGCCTCACAATTCCTGTGACATTTCCAAACTCCTTTACTGTCACCAAAGGTCTCTGGGGTTATTTATATTCTAGCTCATCCTAAATTCTGCTCCCCACAGAGATGGAGTGATTGTGAAAGACTTCAGCAATCTGAAGGTGCACAGGGAATCCACAGAGCTGGAGGGCATGTCCAAGCTTGGCTCCTTTTTGGCTGTAAAGGTCCAAGAGAGGGCCAGAGAAAGGAGCCCAGCTCTGCTTTTTCTAAAGAAAAGGCATAATTCTAACTTGTTATTATGATTAAGCTGCACTTTGGAGTCACAGATAATGTGAAAAAGTAAATCTACCTTTCTGGCACATGCTGATGGGGGAGGTGGGTGGGGAGTTAGATGGAGGGCAATGAAGGAAGTCTTTATGAGCAAGGCAGACCTCCAAAGATAAAAGTACCTACTTTGCTGAATAGCCAAACCTCCATACTAAAAAAATTCTACCTAATTTTTGAATGTCATAGCTTGTTCATACCTGTGTTCTGATAGCTTCTAAGTAATACTGTAATAACATCCAAATTTCAGTCATTACAAAAGATGTTTATCTCTCATGTTTCTAGTCTTGCTCCAATTGGGGACCCTGGTGCAAAAGGGCTTCCTAACTTGAGACCTGTAGTCCTGAAACAGAAGCAGAACAGCAACAGCACAGCATAAGAGGTACCCACTGCTCCTGCTTATGGGTGGCAAATGCCACTCCCATTTTGTTGGCCAGAGGAAGTCATATGGCCAGGTTTGACCTCAATAGGGTGGAGAGACATTCTTCCCTCCGGAAGGGACTGGCCTGTGAAAGGCTGAGTATTGTAAGTAATATGTAATCTACTACACACAATTTTTTTTTAAGGATTAAAATGTTATTTTCAAATATTCACAAGGAGCCACTGGTTGTTTTGGTTTGTTTAGATAGAAACAGAGCTCTGTTTAATGTCTACACTGCTGTACAAGTTGCATATGTTCTCAATTGTGTGTATGCACACACTTCCTGAGCCAGTTGGTACCAATTACAACATTGGGAAGGGCTAAATGACTTTCTTGTCTATTGCCTTTGAGAAAAAGTGAACAACATCTTTGTAGACAAATTGTAGGTAAATGTAGTGAGGCAGATAGCCTATGTTAGTAGAGTGCTGAAGAGGTGGGGAAGGTGATTTAAAGTCGACTATGACTTGAGTAGAAAAGATGGAGAACAGGGAGAAGGAATGGCAAAGGGGGCAAACCCTCTGTGCCAGGCTTTAGCTAGAACGAGGAACCTGAGACCTAGCGTTTAGTAATTACTCAAGGCCATCCCATTTAAAGTGTCAGAGGCTGAATTTAAATTTTCAAGGTTTCTCTCGCCCCAAAGTCCATACTTTCTCATTCCTTTAGTGCTTGCTCTCTAAAGAGATAAGAGAAAAAGAGGGGAAGAAATGGATTTTTCTTTGTTTTTTTTCGATTAACATGTAATAATTGTACATAATAATGGAGAATAGTGTGATATTTCGACACATGCACATAGCGTGCACTGATATATCAGGGTAATTAGCATTTCCCTCTCTTTGTGGAAAGGGAGGTTTTAAAAAAAGGAAAAGAAAAAAATCGAGAGGCAGAAGCAACCCAAAGTCGTAGAGGGCGTAAGAGAGGATATACTAAAAGAAAAACGGAGAGTGTGAGAAGTCCACATTAGAAACAAATAAAGAGGGGAAAGGCTCTCACTGGTGGTCTTCAAAGTTCACGCAAGTCACCTTGGGAATCTGAAGAGGCCGGGACGCCCCCTGCCGGATGGGAGAAGTGAGGACCCCGAGCGGCTCAGGCCACGCCCGAGGCTGGCACCCACCGTAAGCCGGGTTCCTGCGAGAGCTTTCAGAAATATCAAGTGGCATTCAGGTGGCGCGGGGTCCGGGTTGCGGGAGTTTGTTCCAGTTCATTCTAACGTGTAGCCCCGGCTAAGAACCATCGG